TTATTTTATACTTTCCCTGCCCCAGCCCTAGAATCAGCCATTTCTCCAAGGAGCTCTTGTTCCCTTTGGTGGAGAATGGCATTTAGAAACTAAGATCTCAGCATTAGATGTGCTCATTGCTGTTGAGGTGTCACTGTTCTCAGGCCCTTTCAGTGGACAGAGCTAGGGACCACATGAAATACATGTATGTATATACACAAATACACATGCGTGCATATGTATATCTATATTTATCTATGTTTACATAAACACACATTTGCATCTATATTTATTTCTGTATGTACACATATTCAAAATCATGAGTTCACACTGATACCTCTAATTCCAATCCAACACCAACTAATTCATTCTAGTTTTTTTACTTTTCATATATTTTTAACTACCATCTCTACCAGTGAGAAAACTGACTCTCATTATCCTGACTATTTCTACTTGTTTAGCCAGTCCTTCCGCACATTAACAACCTCCTGTGATTTTTCCTTTCCCCCCAATGTGGACATGCTCCTCACTGTGCACTGGGCTACTGCTCCACCCAGATACCTTCTCCATCTTGCTTGGGCTCCAATGCCCCAAGGTGGACCACCAGGATGAGGAAGCCTACGTGGTCACCTTCCTCTCCCTGATCTGACTCTGACACCTGTGCCAGGTGGCCTTCCTTCATGGATGCCCCCCCCCCACCTGGGTCTCTGCACCCACACCAGGCCTCCTCTCTCCTACTCCCCTTCCCTGCGCCATGTACATAGTTATCTTACTGCCCTTGGGCTCCAACATCTGGCACCAGGCTGCCCCCTCCAGGGACTCCGTTCTTACCCTGCTTATGATATTACACTGGTACCCCCTCCTTATAGGGACACCTTCCTCGTCCCAGTTAGGTCACCATCTTACCCAGAGGCCCTCCTTTCACCTCTTGACCACTGTGACTCCACACCCCTACCACACCCCTATCAAAGACCTGCTTGGCCTCTGTAATGACTTTTGGACTGATTTCTGCAGGAAGAAGGAAGAGAGTGGAAAAAGCGGAACACTAGTTCATCTTTTAGTTAATTTTTAAAAAAGTAATTTTTCTGAGATTCACTCCCATTTTAGTTTTTGGATAGATCTATTTCCGGCATCATGTCTGTCAAATTTATATTTGCTGGGAGAGCTGTCTGCTCAGGTCATTCCTTATCTATGACGGTTACTGTCTCCTCTACCAGAAACATTATGATGGTTCACACAGGCCAATACATAACTGAAAATCCCCCTCTGTCATCATTCTTTTCAGTGGGGTTTTCAGCATAATACACAGATATAGGCCAGCATATTTGGGGGAAGGGCACCTTGCTTCAATACTTTCAACTTCTCTTCCCTGTTTCCCTTTCTCCTCTTCCTAACAGCACTCTGCTAATCTTGTGAGGTTCATTTAAATGGAACCTCAGGGGGCGCCTGGGTGGCTCAGTCCTTCAGCTCAGGTCATGATCCCAGGGTCCTGGGATCGAGCCCAGCATCGCGCCCCACATCCCCCGCATCCCCGCATCGGGCTCCCTGCTCAGTGGGAAGCCTGCTTCTCCCTCTCCCACTCCCCCTGCTTGTGTACCCTCTCTCGCTGTGTCTCTCTCTATCAAATAAATAAATAAAATATTAAAAAAAAATGGAACTTCAGTTGCTTTAACTTTCTGCTAGACTTTTTCTCATAGGAAGGTACTTCAAATGTCTTAAAGCTCTGTGTAGCCCAGATCCCAGGAAGAATGGATTATTCACCTCTCTTCAAATGTCCCAAGCTGTTCTACCCATGTGCCTTTAACCGGTTCATCCTCTCATGGCTTCTCCAAAGGTCAAAGCCCTACATCCTGCAAGGTACCTTTCGCATGCTACCTCCCAACAAAGCCTTTGCCAATAACCCCAATTCAGGACCCCCACAGAACTTTGTATGCATTTGTGATATATATCCTTTCCTGACATAGTCTAATTATCATTCTTAAGATGCCAGAAATTAATTCCTTAGGTTACAGGTACCATTAATTTTTCATATCTACTCCATGGAGGACTTGCATATAGTAGAGGCTCTATATATGTTTAATTGAAACATAATAAAGGTTTATATTTTTTATATTATTTTTTATTACATAGTTCAGTCTTCAAAAAAGTTAAAGTTCCTAGTGGTCTTTTCTGGCATGAGACCTCAATTTTCTTCCTTATAAAAGAGAAAGATATTTACTTTTATCATCTAAAGGACAGGAGAGTGAAGATGTTCATCTTTTTTTTCCAACATGATGCACTAGGTTGCATTAGAATATCAAGAGATAAAATCTGCTCTCAAAGCAAATTCATATAGACCTATGGACACCTGTATTTTTATCCTGCCCAAATGGCATTCTAAGTTTTGAAGGCTTTTTTTTTTTTGGAGGTGAAGGCAGAGTTTATTGAAGATCTGGAGAGAGCAGATATAGATGGAGTGTTCAGGAGACTCGGAAAAGAAAAAATGGAGCATGAGTCTCCAGTTTTGACATTATTAAATATTGACATTTTCTCTAGAACATATGCGTTTACTTTGCATAGTGAATAAAATCATTTTCACTTGCAGAGAAATGGCTCTAATTCCTCACTCCCCACAGGAATTATGTAACTACAAGAGGAGACCGACCTGCTTCTTTTGTGTTCGTCTTAGCCTGGATTCTCATAATCTGTCCCAAAGTAGGGCATTATCAACAATCTAGGCTACTTTGTCATATTTTCTTTTCTCCATTAAACTGTTTATTGCAAGGGTGATCATTCGACTGTAAACACTTTGACTCAGAGGTGTCTTCTAACTCTTTTGTATTATTATTTTGTGTATGATAATAGCACATTACAGGGATGTGCAATGAATAATTTCATCAAATTGCTCTTAGAGTGCTTTGCTTCCCTAGTCTATCACTACTGATCTTGCTATGTTTGGTAGCCAAAAATACGAACTTTTGGTGTTTTTCTCCTCATGCTTAATTAATCCCAATGCTTTTAGACCTCTCTTCATCCCTAGTGGTCTGATAGACATTGCACCAAGGTTTTAGAGTTGGCAACCTGAAGAATTTTAAGCTCCTCTTTTTATATCATGCCACAAAATGGTAAGAATTGGGTGAAGAAAAAATGGCTGAGGTCCTCAAAGAGCTTTCCTATATACTAATAGAACTCCTTCTGACAGATACTTGTGGTAGGCTGAATCATGGCACCCCAGAAGACCTCTTTGCCCTAATCCCTGGAATCTGTGAATGTTACCTTGTATGGCAAAAAAGGATTTTGTAGGTGTGATTGAAGATTTTGAGATGAAGAGATTATTCTGGATTATCTGGGTGGACACTATATGCAATTACATGTATCCTTTGAATAGGAAGATGGAGGGAGATTTGACACACAGAAGAAGAGAAGATAATGTGACCGTGGAGGCAAAGATTGAGTGACAGGATCACAAGCCAAGGAGTGTTGGCAGCCACTAGAAACTGAAAGAGCAAGAAACAGACTGTCCCTATAGTCTCTGGAGGGAGAACAGCCCTGCTGTCACCTTTATTCAACCCAGTGGAATTAATGAAATTCTGGCCTCCAGAAATACAAAAGAATAAATTTCTGTTGTTTTAAGCCACCAAGTTAGTGATAATTTGTTACAGCAGCCACAGGAAGCTAATACTTACAGACTTTGTTGGGGGGGGAACATAAAGAATAAACATAAACCCCATCCTTAAGTATCTATAAATTAAATCAGAAACAGTTTGTAAATTATTATGACCCAATGGGTAATAAAATGCACAGATAAATGTCAAAGTCAGGAAGTACTGCAGAAATTCAGAAAGACGAGTAATCTTTAGTGAGGAGCTGGAGTAGATTAGGTGGGTTTTACTGCATAGGTAGATTTTGAAGGTAGACACTTGGACAAAAGGAGAGGAGTTTAGATTTCTTCCTCTGGGCAGTGGGAATTCAGTAACAAATTCCCTCCTCATTTTCTTTCTTTTTGCAGTAGAAAAGTAATCTAGGTTTTTCTTAAAACATCTTAGAGACATAAAAATTAGAATGTAAAATTCCCCTATAATTCCACTACTCCTAGAGAAAAGCTTTGCTAAGAACTTGGTATATATTCTTCCAGATTATTTTCTGTATATATAGTAATATGTTTATACCATTATTACCCAAATAGGATCATGTTTAAATATTCTTTTGCAACCTGCCATTAAAGACTTTTCAGCAAAATAAAAAGGAAAACCATATTTTAACATGATTAGTCTTTTGGCAACACGCATGTAGTTCTCCCTAATCTATCCTAATTAGGGTAAGGACTGTACTGAGTGGAGAAATGGAAACAAAGAGAGAGTAGCGAAAGGTTTTTACAATAATCTGGGCAAAAATTAGGATACAGTCTGTGGCAGTAACTGATAAAGTAAGGGGTTAGGAAATTTTTCTAATACAAGTCAGCAAATATGTATATATATTTCAAGATCTTGGGCCACATAAATAAAAACTAATTCCTCTTTTGTCCTTTGAGAGAGAGGAAAAACATGACAGATTCCACTTACCCACATTTGAAGATAGTCATATGCTCTGATGGTACTAATAGCAAATCCTAAAGGGAAGAAACTGCTTTCTAGGCCGTGAGAGCAGGGCTAAGTATTTTTATGTACAGTGATGTGTTTTCTGATTATGAAAGCATTACATATTTATAAAAGCATTTGTAGAAAACATGGGAAATATTGAAAAGTAAAAAAAAAGTGTATTTTTTTTAAAGATTTTATTTATTTTACAGAGAGAGAGAGCGAGAGAGGGAACACAAGCAGGGGGAGTGGGAGAGGGAGAAGCAGGCTCCCCACCGACCAGGGAGCCCGATGCAGGGCTCGATCCCAGGACCCTGAGATCATGACCTGAGCCGAAGGCAGACACTTAACGACTGAGCCACCCAGGCGCCCCCAAAAAAGGTGTATTTTTTTTTGTTATTATAAAGGCAAATTAAATGTATTATTCAATAACATTTCAAAAGTGTTTAAACAAAACAGAATTACTTTGTTAGTCACAGTGTTGATTGCCAGAGTTGGAGAGGCACTTCCCGAAATAATACACTCCATTCCTAAAGAATCTGAATCTATGCTATATGGAGTTGAGGCCCGTTCTACAGATCGTGCTCTCTTCTTTGGCTGAGTAGGCAGCGCATCTTCCTTCGGATTGGTGTCTATTGCCCAGTAGGATCCCTTGGCTCAATGGTTTTCTCCCACTGTGGTGAGGGTGGTTTTGGAAAAGCTCCTCAAATGCCAGGAAACACTTTCCTGGGTCATCCTTTGATCGAGGCACTTTAAGGAAACATTTGTTCAGTGACAGATTATGTTGTATGGAATTCTTCCAACCACTGCCAGCCTCTCTATAATACGGGAAGTTATCACAAATCCACTGGTAAATCTCACTTAGAGTCATTTTCTTTTTGGGTGAGCTATTAATTGCAAATGTAATGAGGCTGGCATAACTGTATGGAGGTTTCCCATCTTTGTGCTGTTGGACTTCTTCCTGGTCCAGTGTTGTATTTGGGTCAAGGAGCGCATTCTTCTTGGAAATTCCTGTTCCATGTGCATTTTGTGTAGCATCAGATTTTTGGATGGCTGCTCTCATGGTGAGCTGTGGTAACCAGTCCATAGATGTTAGGCTGCTCTCCAGTTCAGATGTCATCCTTAATGAAGTTACAGATGGACAAGCCTGTCCATACAAACCCATCTGGCCACAAAGAGAATCTCAGGCTGCGCAGGCTGGGACGGCCCGGCCGAGCCCCCGAGCCGCTGCGTGCGTCTCCGCCTCCCGGGAAAGGTCCCAACGGCGCCTGGTGCGAGCGGCAGAGGCCCCGAGCAGCGCCGAGAGCGGCGGCGGCAGCGGGAGCAGCCAACATCCGGGGCCGCGCACCCAGAACTCAAAAAGGTGTATTTTTTTAATGCAGGTTCCACACCCAGCATGGAGCCCAGCACGGGGCTTGAACTCACAACCCTGAGATCAAGACATGAGCTGAGATCAAGTCCAACACTTAACCAATGAGCCACCCAGGTTCCCCTAAGTATTCTTTTAAAAATCTTTGTTTTGGGGTGCCTTGCCTGGGTGGTTCAGTCAGTTAGGCATCTGCCTTTGGCTCGGATCATGATCCCAGGGTTCTGGCATCGAGCCCCTGGCTCCTTGTTTGGCAGGGAGTCTGCTTCTCCTCCTTTTTCCTCTGCCTCCCATTCCCCTGGCTTGTGCTCTCTCTCTCTCTCTCTGTCAAATAAATAAATAAATAAAATCTTTAAATTTTTTTTTGTTTTTCCGAATGGGCGTTTTATTTTTGCTGCTGTTGATTACAACAGTACAATTTCATTATAAAAAATGCAAACAAACACAGACATATATAAGGTAGAACATTGAACACCTTCTTGTAATATTACCTCCCAGAGGTATAGAGATACACTGGAACATGCTCACACAGGCTCATTGAGCTAATTGTGTGCATTTCTTCCCCGATCTGTGTTCCATAACTATAGCTTGATATCAGCCATGGCAGGACTATTTACACCATGGAAATTGGCAAACATCACTTATCAAGGCTTTATGTTCTGGAGAGCTGGAATGTTAAACTTATACCATTACATCACTATGTATATCTTCCTAGACATTTTGTGCATATTTGAATATTTATTTACATGAACATAGAAAATACTCAATTTTCTCTTTCCCCCCAGCTTTACTGAGGTATATAATTGACATATAACATTGTATAAGTTTAAGGTATAAAAGTAATGATTGATATATGTATATATTGCAAAATGATTACCATAATGTTAGTTAACACATATATCACCTCAAATAGTTACAAAGTGTGTGTGTGTGTGTGTGTGTGTGTGTATGTGAGAATACTTAATAGTTATTCTCTTAGCAACTTTCAAATATACAATTCAATATATTTTTTAAAGATTTTATTTTTAGGGGCACCTGGGTGGCTCAGTTGGTTAAGTGTCTGCCTTTGGCTCAGGTCATGATCCCAGGGTCCTGGGATTGAGCCCTGCAGTGGGGCTTCTGGCTCAGTGGGGAGTCTGCTTTTCCTTCTCCCTCTGTGTACTCTCGCTCTCAAATAAATAAATCTTTTTAAAAAAGATTTTATTTTTAGGGCACCTGGGTGGCTCAGTTGGTTAAGCATCTGTCTTCAGCTCAGGTCATGATCTTGAGGTCTTGGAATCCAGCCCTGCATTGTGCTCTCAGCTGGGAGTCTGCTTGTCTCTCTGCCCTTCCTCCCACTCATGCTCACTCTCTCTCTCTCTCAAATAAAGTCTTTTAAAAAACTTTTTATTTTGAAGTAATCTCTACACCCAATGTGGGGCTGGAACTCACAACGCCAAGATCAAGAGTTGTATGCTCCATCAACTGAGCTAGTCAGGTGCCCCTACAATTCAATATATTTTTTAAAGATTTTATTTATTTGTCAGAGAGAGAGAGAGAGAGAGCACAAGCAGGGGGAGCTGCAGGCAGAGGGAAAGGAAGGATCCCTGCTGAGCAAGGACCCTGACATGGGACTTGATCCCAGGACCCTGGGAGATCATGACCTGAGCTAAAGGCAGACGTTTAACCGATTAAGCCACCCAGGCATCCCACAATTCAATATTTTTAACTATAGTCACTATGCTGTACATTACATCCCCAGGACTTACTCATCTTATAAATGGAAATTTGTACCTTTTGAGCCCCTTCACCTATTCTTTCCCTGCTTACCCTCCTTCCCAGACACTGGCAGCCCTCAATCTGCTCTGTTTCTATGAGTTCTTCTTCTTCTTTTAATAGTTTCCACATGTAAGGGAGATCATATAGTGTTTGTCTTTCTCTGTCTGATTTATTTCAACTTTGCATAATGTCCTTAAGTTTCATCCATGTTGGCTATGGCAGGATTCCCTTATTTTTTATGGCTGAATAAAATCCCATTGTGTATTTACCACACTTTCTTTATCCATTCATCTACTGATGGACACAGGTTTTTTCCCCATGTCTTCGCTATTGGAAATACTGCTGCAGTGAATGTGAGGGGGCAAATATGTCTTTGAGATAGCAATTTCATTTCCTTTGGATATATACCCAGAAGTGGAAATCATATACTAGTTCTATTTTGAATTTTTTGAGGAATCCCCATACTGTAAAAAAAAAAAAAAAATCCCATTTTCTAACTGGTTTTGGCAATCCAACAATTTATAATGCTCCTCTCTTCAATACACATTCACCTATCTAATCCTTGCTACTATTTCACTGTATGACTGCATTATAATTTATTTGAGCAATTCTCCACAGATGGGTGTTTTGGTAGGTTACAATTTTTGGCTATTATAAACAAACTTTCAGTGAACATTTTGTTCATATATATTTGCATATCTGTCATTTTCTCAGGATAAATATCTAAACATGAAAATGTTGAATCAAAGTGCATACCTATGCGGGGCGCCTGGGTGGCTCAGTTGGTTAAGCGACTGCCTTCGGCTCAGGTCATGATCCCGGGGTCCTGGGATCGAGCCCCGCATCGGGCTCCCTGCTCTAGGGGAGGCCTGCTTCTCCCTCTCCCACTCCCCCTGCTTGTGTTCCTTCTCTTGCTGTGTCTCTCTGTCAAATAAATAAATAAAAATCTTTAAACAAACAAACAAAGTGCATACCTATTTACAATTTAAAAAGATGATACCAAATTGCCCTTTCAAAAGGTTGTCTTATTTTTATACTGCCTTCACCAGTGTATGACAATGCCCTGAAAAACATAATTTAAATGATTGCATAGGATTTCAGTTTATGGATGTCTGATAATTTATTTGATCCATTCCCTACTATGGTGTTTCCAATATTTCTCATTTCTATAAATAACGCTATAATAAATACCCTTGTACATTTTCATGCAAATCTGTTATTTTCCCAAGATAAAGTCTTTGATATGGAATTACAGAGTCAAAGGTAAGAATGTGTTTATGACATTTTGATACATATTATCAGATTCAGGTCAGTATTTGGAACTTAAGGTTTTTAAAAATCTACTTGCTGCAAAAAAGAAAAAAAAATACTTCTAAGGACTACTATTGCTTTTGGAAACAAAGTCTCAAGGCTCTCAAATACCTTTCCACTATTTTCCCTTTAGTTTCTTCTTTAGCATTTTAGACCCAGGATTCTACCCTATTCCCCCTTCCAAATTTTGTTTCTGTGTTAAATGGCAATAAAAAGTATGCATATGTGTGTTTGCAAGTTGGAAGATTAAAGGGACCCATACATCAATATGAATCATTATTAACCTAAAATGTAACCCATTTATGGGATTAACCTTGCCTGTCATTTCCTTAATGAGTAAGAAAATAAATTGCAGTCAAGAAAATTTTTACTGGATTCTAGGAAAATTTCGTCTTATGGAGCCCAAGAAAAAAATTGAAATTTCCCAAAAATGTAGTAGTTACTTTATTCAAATATATCACTTTATCGATAGATACATAATAATCAGATACAGAAAGAATTTTCTTGGTGTTTACCAGTGTTAAGAGTACTGCTTTTGTTTTTGTTGTTTTCTAATTGGGAAAAAAAGAGAAACCAAATGGATAAGTACTTCTAAGTTTTGTTAAAGTAAGTGATTTTATTATTATCTAACGTTAGTGTTTTTCAAATCTCTTTTCTTCATGCCACTGTCCCTCCCCTAGCCAATTTTTTATGAAGGAAAAGCTGATAAGGGTGTGTGTGTGTGTGTGTGTGTGTGTGCGCGCGCGCGCGCGCGCGTTCTAGCCCCATTTTGCCGATGAATGAGGTCTCTCCAGGGTATACCATCACCATCTTGTGGCCTTTTGCCATATTACCGCTGAGGGTTTTAATACGGGGATGCTTTTTTGCAATTCCAAGTGTGAAATACAGTGTATCTCCTTTTGGTAATCCCTCTGTGGATTAGATAAAATATGCTGAGGGCCAGATACAGCCTGCATGCCCGGAGCTCCCACTCTACAGTGAGATGGTATCTTTGCATTTGTACTGCGTTTTCAACTGATTCTAAAAGAACCAACTGAATAAGGTAATCTAGTGAAGAGATTGATTAGCTTTATTGTAAAGTGACATTTTCAGTTTTGTTTTAGGTTTGAGCCGAATCTGCTTTGGTGGTTCCTTTTGATTTGTAAAAATACTGGTTGGCAGGGTAGTTGGTAAATCTCCTAACTTTTTTGTCTGTCTCTTTGATTATAATGTTGGGAGTGCTTTCCCACTTTTGTTTCAATATTCTCCCTACCTAGTACTATTTTATTATGTTCTCTAAAAAGAGTTTTTTTCCCCATTCTCTTCTCTTGTGGATGGTTCCTCCTTTCACTTTGTCTCTTTAATCTATTTCTCCTTTTTTCTCCTTCCCTGTGCTTCTCATTTTGCTTCTTTGGTATCCTTGCCGCAAATGGCTTACTCGGCTTCCTCCACTAACACCCACAAGCACAGCGCCCCGCCTCCCCTTTCAGTGTCCTCCCTTCTTTGTTCCTTCTAATTCCTTCCCCCGGTAGTCAGTCGATGTTCCGGCTCTTCTAGTGTTGAGTGCGTCAACCTCGTGTGCTCGCTGCATAGGTCTTTTAAGGACGTACCTCCCTAGTAACCCTGAAGCTTCAGGGAGAAACCTAAATCCCACCTATTCAAGGAAGCCACTGTCTAAACCAACTTAGATTCAAAAGGAGAGGTTTCAAAAGGACAACCTTTGCTTCAGTCCTAAGAAATGGATAAATACC